GGAGAGTCAGGAACTTGGTTTTATGCTCAACTAACTGGCCCCTCTAATAACTCTTCTAGCTGCAACCTTAGCTTGATGCTACATTGTGCTGAGACAGTACTGGACAGGAGGTGGTATTATCTTCAATATAACATGCCAGCTGTGGTTTTGAAAATAATCTCTGGCCCCATAAACATATTTCTTAATTGTTTTTTTTTCTTTTTTTTTCTTTTTTTTTATCAGGCAACTTTGTTCATGCTGGCAACATCCTAGCAACACAACGTTTGATACGTTGGCACCCAGGATCAAATGTAATCAATTGTTTTTATATTGCATGAAATGCTTTGAAGATGGATGAATGGATATTGGTGTTTGAAGAAAGTAAAATTGTATGGCATTTTTATTAGGTGAAATTGGTTGCATAAAGTTAAGTGATTAAATATGGAACACGTCCCTCAACGAGGGAGTAGATTAGTGTATTACGGCCTTTAAAAGCCATGATTAATGAGAAATATAATTCTTAGCCACAAAACACATACAACAAAAATGTTTTATTCTGTAATCAGAACCTACTTTAAGAAATACAACATGGATAGTTATAATTGTCCTGCTATACATCTGTTTGTGTTTGTTCTGCTGAAGGTTGGCATAGGCCGCAACAACACTCTGTATGCCTTGGAGGATGGCGTTGTCAGATACACCAAGGAGGTGTATGTTCCCCCGCCGCGCAGTCCAGAGGCCACGAAGGTGATCTGCAAACTGCCCAAAGGGTCTGTCCTTTATAAGACATTCATCAACATCATCCCCAACAAGCAGGAGGGTGCCTTCAAACTGGTGGACATGCTGTGAGCCTCAATTGTCTCTGTATCTCCAAGGGGTGGAGCTCACTGTAAGCAGCAGATATTGAACTGACTTCGTGAGAATGGGTTCCTCTTTGGTGCGTGTGGATGTAGTTGCTTTTCAGTCCTGCTTCAGGAAACCAGTGGGACTCATAACTACAGAACATTTTCTTTATTTCAAGTCTTTACACTTCATAACATGTATGTACTGTTTTAAATAGGCAACTGCTCAGCAGGCAAAGTACAGGAAAACCCCTAAAAGATTCAAAGTAATGAAAATTCAACATTTAAAAAGAAAATGTTGACTGACCTAGAAGTCAGAAGTTGAATTTTTTTGTAATTTACCTTATCTATGTGTTGGAGGTCCAGTGGTTGGTTAAAGACTTTGATATTATAATAAAATTGTTACAATCTCCATTAAATTCAATGAATTGAAACTACTAAATGAAGCTATTGTGTGGAGAAAGCTAAGTAGTAGGAGGACAGCAGTAAAGTATGGTAATGACTTAACGCTTCACTGTGGGACAGTTGCTGGGATTGTTTCTCACAAAAAAAAAAGTGCTGGGGTTTGTTTGGCTGTCAGATTGGTTAAAAAGGAAATCCTTTTGCTTACTCAGTAGCTAAACAATTCTGTGCAGATAAAGTGTAGATTATCTTTAACTTTAAACATCATTCACATTAATTAGCCTTAAAAGATGAGGCTTTCTCTAGAAACCACATTTAAGAAGCTGTTTCATCCAGGTTTGACAGCATACTTTTAATTAATTTAAAACATCCCTGATGTGAGAAATTATAGTAAGAAGTCTCTCATGCTGTTTATAGTTGATAAAACCAAACTAGAATTCAATGCAAGAGTTTCATTTTTAATGTATTGACTTCGATCTGAGCTTAATGACTCAAAATCTGGGTTTGTACAATGTCCAAATAGTAGTCTGTGATGTAAAAAAAAATAGCCTTCAGGTTGTGGATGACATACGTGTGTTGACATAGCTGCTTTTTAATTTTTTAATCCCCTAATTAAATGCCCAACGTGAATGCTTAATTCACCAGCACTGCTGACAAATCACACACTAGGATGTGTCTTTTTTAAGTTTTCCATTTCTTTCAAATTTAAATTGCTTCAGTGCTCATTAAGATACAGGTTTATCTGCCTTTTATATGGAGATTTGAGCTCTTCCCAGAGCTTTTGAATTCTGCTCTTCCAATTATAATATGCATTAAGCTCCCTGTTTTTTTCTTCTTTAGCTAAATTAAGCTTTGCACACCAAGCTGCCTGCTAAGTCATTGTTCTGGATTTGTTTTTCACTCTCCCTTTAAAGCTTAGGCAACACTGTAACTCCTATAGAATTTAGTGTTCCTGAACACCGATAACTCTCAGCAAATGGAAACTTAAATATGCAGGACCTGGATATCAAGGAAAAAAGGGGAAAAAATACAAGTGTAGTAAAAGAGTGTCTTGAGGTGCTACAGTGTAAGATTTGCTCAATTACAGACACGTAATCATGGATATATAAATGGAATATCTCTTATGAATTAACCAGTTAATTACCCTGAAACGTCTTGATTGTATAAAACCTGTAAGTTACATCTGATCATCTTTACTGGAAGGACTGGGAGGTACAGTCAATGCTGTAAGTACTTTCAGGGACACTATAGCTGTAAAACAAGGTAATTGTAGACTTGAATGTTGATAGAAATTACGGTATTGTATTTTATTCATAAAGTTATTTGAAGGGTAACACTTCCCTGGAGTGAATGTTAAACAGCCTCTAAATTATTGAATGTATTACAGGCATCTAATTACATTTCAAAGGGCGGGGGTTAGGTACACATAATTACAGCAGGGGATGTGTGAATGAACTCAAAACCATTGATACTCGAAAATCCTTTCTAATTTTCAATGGAGAAGAGATTGTTTTCCTTTACTTGTATGCGAATAGTGTTTTGTGTCGAGAAGGCATTTTCGACATGTAAACGTTTGCTTTGAGGAAACCATTGAAAAAAGTAAGACTATTTTAACAAAGCTTAGATAATGATGGTTTGGTGTTTTGCAGTAGGCCTACAAGCTGTCCTAAAATTTAATCAATATTTGTCAAATGATCAAACAAAACAATTTAGGGATATGAGCTTAATGGAATGCTTTCTGTGTGACTGTTGACTTCAAAAACTTTCAGAATGCTGTTAAATAGTACGTATGAAGTCCATTTGCTATCGTTTGTCCCACATTGTTCCAAGGTACATTTTAATTATTAACTCCAACAGGCATTTTGGTCTATAATAAACTATTTTAATTATACACATGGCTAGAAAAAATGCAAATCTGCTCTGAAAAGAAACAATGTAAATCTAACAACTTGTTACAGCTAGCTTTGTTGTGTTACTAGTGCGCTACAAATATAAGCCTTTTTCTGAAAATGTATGTAATGCTCTATTAGAGTGTTTGTGTCTAATGCCTTTATAACCTGTAATAACAGAGGGCAAAAACCTGCTAGCGTGTGGCCCTTACAAATTATACATTTCATGCTTAAGATTTTTTATTGGTAAATATTTCATTAGTGTCTTTTTTTTTGTTAGCTGTTTTAAAGATATTTGTGATTTGTACATCCTCTAATAGAATTATGACATATATAAAATTTAGTCAGTGCCAATGTAATTGTGCTATAAACCTAAATATCATACCAACCCTTCAAAACACATTTTAAGTGTAATGGTTTTTGGTGTTCAGTGCATAATGGTGTTAGATTAATATAACCTATAGAATGGAATGACTGATCATTCTTGCCCTACATTATAAAAGATACAATGTTGATCCTGTATTTGGTGGCAGTCATAGAGAATGATACTGTATAAATTAATGTAGATGATCAATACTTAAATGAAATCTGATGCAAATTAAAATATCACATAATTTGAAAATAAAATGTACAATTAAGGCTTTTCATACACTGTTTGGCAAATAGCATGACATATTCAGAGAGTCTGCGGCCTCATTGCTTGGAAACATTGGTGTTTAACAAAGAATTTACAAGCAGTTCATCTTAGGAATGTCTGGTAAATGGGGTGTCTAGTGCACTGTGGTTTTAGGTTTTGAGGATGCTGTTATCCAAAATCCCTTTGATCAAGAAAGTACACAGTAAGCAACAGCAATTGCCATCACATGGTGTAAAAAAAAAACTCATAAAACATTTTTTTTTCTAATAAGCATTCTGAACTCAAAATAAGTGGGCTGACGATGCATTCCTTAAAGGTAGAAGCGTTGAAAATATGTAAACAGTTAAAACTTGGAATCTCCATTTCAGAATACAGGTCTTTTATTTGTAGTAAAGGGCCAGTGCACTGATGTATGGCTGTGAAGGTATGATTGTTTTATAGCAGGAGACTTTTAAAGTTCATGGTTAACTTTTGCAGTTGTTTGGTTTTTAAAAATGTGGTTTACCAGGAGATAGGTTTCTGATCCCCCCCCCCCTTTGGAGCTGACTCCAAATGCTTGACTCAGTTTTAACAAGTGAAACGTGTGTGCAGCATGACAAATCCCACTGCCGCTGAAGAATTGTTTTTATCTAAAGGAAATGAGCAGCCTCTAATCAAACAGAAAGCTGTGTATTCCTGCTCTTAGACATTTCCATGAACATGCTAAGGTGGCAAAACTTCTTGCCAGGGAGGAAATGTAGGAAAGAAAGGAAAAATACTTTCTTTCCTACATTTCTAAGAGCTTATACTAGTAATGGTAATACAATATTAACTTTTTGTAGCTTTGATTTTGTCCAAACAAATTTATGTTTGTACTCATTTACATAGTTGGGCATTTTACCAAAGCAGGTATGTATGAATAATGGAACAAGTAATAGGTTTATTCCATTCTGTAAATAGAAGAAAGAAAACAACATTTCGGCTGTGGAGCCTTTGTTGGGTGTAAGAAGGATAGGGCAATCGACAAAGGAGTACAACAACAGTGACCACTCTAGGATTTGAACCCACATCCTTCTAGTTACAAGTCTAGAGCCTTACAGTAACTCCTCTTAGTTCCCTGTGAAATTGGTTTTCTAAAAACTGTCATCTACCAGGATCTTCTCAGTTCTCACTTAGAACACCTTGTTTCTTTAAACAGGATATAATAATTATTAATACATTAACATACAATAAAGAAAAAAATAAGTATTGACTTCCTGGAGCTGGAGGTTGAATATGTACCGTTACAGTATATGAATGGGGTACTACATTGTTAAAATTGGGCTTTTCAGTAATACATCTTTAAAGCTAAAGGAGTCTTGATTCATATTAGCAAACAATAGTTTTAATAATAAATTAAGATACAGCATTTAAGAACACACCAATGAGGAAGCAAAAATAAAATTAACAATCACTTTATTTACAATGCAAACTTCATCTGAATACTATATCTGAGTGAGCTAAATGCCCATTTGAATAAAATAAAAACATCTATGAAATGAAGGACAAACTGCGTTTTACAAAACTATGCATATACTGTACACAGTTCAGCTGTAACGTCAATCTCAGCAAACAGGAAAGAGTTGAGATTCAGGTTTTCTGATAAAATACAACAACAGACTTCCTTCTCTGAAACGTCAGCTGGAGTGACTTTGTATCAAGGGTTAAGGCTCGTGAATGCCATTAAAATTAGTGCAATATAAGCATTCTCTTGTATTTCCTCATAAAAGTTGGTTTCAAAATGCAACAATATAATAGCTAACAGTAGACTTATAATGCTTCTGTAAAGTATTTTTTTAAATCCTTGATTGAAAAACACTGAGAAAAGGAAACACAGATCAGGCAAACTGCTTGACCCTAAACTCATTTCTTACCTTTAACATTTTACTTTTTATTTCCTCTGTTCTTTAAAATCATCACTGTGCAAAGCTTTTCATCATGTACTAGAAAATGGTATAATTTTAAAATTAGATGGACTTTGAGTAGATTAAAAGAAAACATAACATAGGTGGATGCTGCACATTGGTGGTGGTGGAGGGGAGTCCCCATTGCCTGTAAAGCGCTTTGAATAGAGTGTCCAGAAAAGCGCTACATAAATGTAAGCTATTATTATTATTATTATTATTATAAGAAATACATATGATCAGCTACAAATCTTCACACGATTGTAGCTATGGACAGAATTTATAAAAATAACCAAATAATCATAGAAATCTCTTAATCTTGTAAGTGTACGTGTTCCAGACATTACTGAAAAAGCTATCAGTTCAAATGATTTTCAGGTCCCACTACCACCTTCCTCTTCACATTAAAAGTTTCCAAGTTTATGATGATATGTTCACTCTTGCTGCTGAGAGCTCCAAATTCAGTAAGCCTTACAGGTCACCCTTCAATTCCTATTCCTATTCCTAAAGACTGGGAAAACCTGTGAATTCTTGATTAAATATGCTATTAATCTGTTTAAACCTATTTGTTTGAGAATCTCTGATCCTTGAGGGATGGAGGATATTCAGATGTGTTCCGAATGATCTCTGCCTCAATCAATCACCTGCTTATTTGCTCAGAATAAAATTGGTAACTGCATAACTTCAGCACCAGGAGTGGATATCCCTGTGAAATTACAGTGCTGTTCTATATGTGTGTTGACTTCTGTGTGTTTGGTGATAACACACAAAACTAATATGGCTGAATTCTCGTGATTAGTTGCTAGTTATCACTGATCTTTTAAAAACTGGAAAAACTGTCATCATTCTTGTTACAAGGAAGTATGAAGGATTTCAAGACAACATCATTACCATTTTCGTCAACTAAAGTTTAATTTAATTTTAATTTAACGCCTAAAAGGGACCAAAAGCATGACTGCCTGAAAGGAGAGTACAATCAGGCAACTGGCAGTAGTGGATACTGTAGATGAGTATCTGATCAGGGGACACTTTGAAATGGGCTGAAGGTGCTGATGTGATTAACTGACACGTGAGATGCAGTAATTCCTTTAACTGATTTGGACATCAGAAGATTAAGACAGATGGTTTAGTGTCTTGATAAAGATAGCTGAGCAGGAAGGTATTGCCAGCATGTTCATTGTGATTCAACTGCAATTGAAAATGTGTTGGATGTCCTTCTTTTGAAAGAACACCAGACTTCCACAGTATAGCAAATGTCTGTGTTTTAACAGATCCACCTGTCTTGGCTTTGTGTGTTTGTGCCAATGTCAGCCTTCTGCATGGTACCTGCTGAGGAGTCTTATTTTAATCTTAAAACATATTTTAGCCATCATTACACATGACCCTCTTTCTTCAGCAGTTTCAGACCAATTCCAACAAAACTAAGGCTTACAACTCTTATAATGGCAGCTAGCAATAAAAACGCTTATAAAATATTCAATGGGTTTGATCAAGCAGCATTTTCAATACTGAAACAAGTACCATATGATTTCAACTATTTCCATCTATGCCAATGCAAATTACAGGCTGAACTATCTCCGTAAATATTCTTCAGGCTAGAAGCGTTCTGTAAAATACAGTCTAACAGCCTACTATTCTTGTGAGTGTATGTGGTATCAGGTGGGACTTAACACTTGCATAAGTGTAATTCCTCAGGCATTGAATAACCTCTCTCATAATTAATCATTCATGGAAGATTCTTCCTCCCTTCAATGTGTCCACATTCCTTGGTAAGCCATTAGTCATTTACCTCCCTCTGTCTTAAGGAAAGTGGGAAACTGCAATTCTTCTAAGGGTGCATCAAGTCACCACGAAAGAAGCAGCGAAACATCAGTGAGCTCACTTGCACGGTGTGCTTCCCCTACAATCACCAATCGTCTATTCACAAGAAGCTCTGGTGCTGCTGTACCTGCCGTTTGTCTTGTCACAAATCTTGTCACAAATTTCTTGTCTTTCCTGTTTGTCGTAATCTTTACTCCAGGAGTATTTCCCCTTCGATGAGCTGTATTTGTCCTGATCGTTCATCTGCTGGGACTGCAAGGTCTCCTGGGCTGGGCTGTGCGCTCTCGCTCAGTGCTCTGTGACAAGTAGGATGCTCAGCTGGCACAGTAGAAACATTTTGAAAAAATAATTTGGAATTATTTGAGGTTCTTCCCCCGTTGTCCATGCCATGGGGAGTGAGAAGCCTTGTCTGAGATCCTGTGATCTAGACAGAAGCCTGGTCACCAGTGGTTGCTTGAGGAGTGTGGCATTGCGTGGGCACTTCCTGTTGCATGCTGATGTCCATGGCTGGGTGGCCGTGAACAACAGGAGGCAAGGGCACCTCCGTACAGCCAAAGCTTGCAGGGATTTCTACAGAGTGCCGTATCGACTCTTCATAAGATGGGGGTGGCTAGAGGTAAATAAAAGGGGAAAAAAAACAGACTTGAGTAGAGAGAAACAGATCTGTTTTCATACGAGAGGTCTAATATTCTTCTGTTCAGGCAATCATCAAACGTTTCATGGATTTGAGAATGTGGTTTCTGGAATGTGTTCATTTTTTAACAAACTTTATAAATGCTCAGATCTGGCCCTTATATTACAGAATAGCTGAGTAAATATGCATTTGCACTTACAGAAGACATAACAAAGCATATATGTTCTAAACATAGTTCCCTAAGCTAAAAACACAACTTAAAAATGTTCAACTGATTTCATCTGGAGATCAAAGAGCTGGGGCAAATTCTGCATTGGAGCAAAAGGAATTTCAAAGGCTGCCCTGCTGGTGCAATGTAACATCTTAGCAGGGAACATTACAACACTGGCACTGACTCATTATTTTACTGTGTTTAGCAGAGACTATAATAACGCTCCGTGCCAAATGCTAATGATTCTCTGCAGTAGGTGCACAGGTTCGATTGCTTTCCACTACCTACACCACTGTGCCACCTGTGATTTTTTAAATAAATCTCACTTTTGCTGGGATAAGAATCTGTTCTTCAGACCTACTGCAGGATTTAGTGACTTTTTTGATCAAGCTAGTAGTTTTATAAAATTGTGATTTGATTGATTTTGGTTTCTTGCCTCTATGAAGTTAGTTGCAGGCAGTGTGTAGCATGAAAGATGATTATCGTATAAATTGGTGGTGTGGCTCAACTATTTGTATCAACAGCACTTATTTCAGTTGTAAGCAATTTAGAAATTACACTTCTTTACAATATACACTAAGAGAAGGCTAGGCTTGTGAGAGTGCTTGGTGGGTAAGTATGGTAACACTTGGAGATCATACAGGAATTGGCAGTATGACAGGTTTTTGTTCACGTTTTACATTCTCAAACCCACCCATCGTCTTATTTGCTTATCCAGTACAGGGTCGTGGGGGGATGCAATGGGTGCAAGGCCGGACAAAACCCCAGTCTATCTTAGGGCAAACCCACACACAAACGCTTTTTTATCTTCTGCCTTCTGATCTACTACAGGTGCTTAATTTTTATTTACTTTTTATTTTCAAATACAATACAACAAACATACAACACACATGCGAGCAGCACAGCTCTGTTTTACTGCAAACTTCCGAAACAGACCAGAATAATTGGAAAGTGTAGTTAACAAGCCATAAAATGTAAAACTGCCCAGACAGTCTATTGTGAACAACAGTAAGGGACAGAAAAACTGCAAGGACCACAGAGGCCTTTCAGTGAAAAGTGACTGCTGGCTCCTACAAGATCCATCCTCCTATTTCAAAAAGATAGTAGAAGCCATTGGAGTAAATTTAGGAAACACATCAGGCAGGCTGGGTTTTGGTGATAGTTATTTCCTTCAATGAACAATTAAAGAAAAAAGGCTGTTAACCTGAAAAATGTTACACAAATGCCATGTGATTATGGAGATGTAGATGTTTTGTGACTATCATACAATGACTTAATAGTTTGCTATTGATTATTTCATATTTTTGTTTCATACTTGATTTTTAATTCAAGTGCTTAACATTTTGTATCTTTGTATACAGATAATTAACGTAAAACAGTTAAATTCACAGCGGACAAACATTTAGTCACCCCAATTTTATTTGCATTTCATATTACAAATATTTAGGAGGTCTTCAATTACTCAACAGTCCTACAATTACAGAGGATATTTTAAAACTCCTGATGCCTTTTGGTATTTGGTGTTTTGGTCAAACATTTCATGGAAACCATTTATTATGTTTGGGTCTTTAAAAACGCACTGTCCCAAAGCAATTTATTTTCTTTTTAGCAAGTAAAAACTAAAAGCTTGTGCAAATGCACTGTGGTTAGACAAATGTCAAATTAATTGGTTTAGTAAATAGAAAAAACAGACAGCAATGGCATATGAAAAACATGGGAACTGGTCTGCACAAACCCTACGATAGCCACTGTCACGAAAGGGAAGCCCAATCTGAGATGACAGCTTTTATGCCTAATAGTGCATTAAGAAAAAAAATGCTATTTTTAAAAAATCTGAAGCCTGTCAGTAAAGTATAAATGGCAGGAAAAAAAAGCAAATGGTAAAAGCACATTTTATTTTACTCAGTAGCCAAAATCTTTATGGGCACTAGAAAGCATAATACATAGATTTACTCAACCCATGGAAAGAAATGAAGTGACAAATTGCCAACAGTTTAAAGAATTACATTGTCTGTAATTGCATTACAGTTTCAATAATACAGTCATGCAAGATGCTTACTCGTGAATCAATCAGTCAGAGCACTTTTCCACTAGTGAGCGTTCACAGATCTCCTGCCTATCGCTCACCTGGGCCCTCACGCATGGCGCCATAATGATCAACCGTAACTCACCTCAGCCATGGCAGGGGTGCTGAGACCAAACCTATGGGCAATCATCATGTGGATCTGGCGCTGGCGGTCCTTCTTGCGCACACTCTCGTAGGAGGGCAGGCGAGGGAGGGGGGCCTCGAGGTGAGGCAGCTGGTAGCTGCTGGGCGGCCCGATGAAGTACAGCTGACCTGGCTGGGGGGAAGGAGAGTTGTCTAACACAGCAGCCAGACTGGATACACACGGCAAATATGAAGGTTTTAACACAACAAAGCTACATGACGACACCTTAACTGTTCTAACGTTTCTTTAACAAAGGGGCTTTCAGATTCATGAATAAATCCTCCATTTACTAAATATTCATGAGGCTCTTAAGTGTAACAAAAATAGTTCATCCATCTTTGTAGTGTCTAATGCCTTGCCAACAGAAGCCAAACAGCTTTTACAAATCATCACAAATTATATTAAATAGTAATACAGCTACTAAAAGGTAGTGGAAGTCTACAAAATGGAAGTCACAGAGTCACCTTCTAGAACAGAAAGCCTCCAGTGTATACAGTACATGGTTATAAGTCTGTAAAAGACATAGTCAGGCTATAGTTATGAAACTCAAGGTGTAAACGTGTGTAACATGTTACAGGATTATGTATTCAAACTGCCATCTTAGACAGCTTGATTTCTAATTTCAAACTAATATACATTTGAAAAGCCAGTAACTAGACAGACTAAGTTCTGCTGTTGTCAGTTAAGTCTCACAGCAGCAAAGTGGAAGAAAAAGACCAGAGACTGGAAGAGGATATTCTACTAAAATATAATTCTTCTTAGTAAGAGCAGGTGAATGAGGATAAATATGAAAATGACAAGATTAGACGATGAGTGGAACTGTTAAGGAGACATGAGATGGGTTTAAGGCACTACTTATCACACCTGGGCATCAAGGTTGTCAAAGGCCATGTCTGGACTTTGCTCTCCATAGGAAGATCGCACCAGTGTCTGTCTGCTGCTGTGATACTGAGGTGGTGCATCCTGGAGAAGGGAAAAGGACAGGAATCGTTCATAGACGTACTCCAGAGTGAGTACACAAATACAGAGAGCAGGCAGGACTTGGCACACTCCGTTCAGATACACCACAAAGTTTCTAGATCCAGGCAGATTACACCAGTTATGTGTGTGACTATCGATTTCACCTTATCAATTATTACAGGGACTTCTATGAAAAATCACAGCTGCAGGGTGATATGTGATAAGGTGATAAGAAATCAAGGTTGTCATTTAGCACACTTTATTTCACGTTGACCACAACAAGGTAAACTATGAGCAGCAAAAATGAAGCGCTATAGTAACTTCTCTCTCATTTATCAGTCATCCATTTTCTAACAGCTTTATCTAGTAAAAGGTCGCAGGGGTCTCTGGAACCTAACCCAGCAAGCTATGGACACAAGGCAGGAGTACCCTGTCATGTTTAAAAATCATCTGTTGCAATTGGTATCTTTTATTGGTGTTTAACAGTTCTGTTATAGTGTCAGTCTTTTTGTGTTTAACAGTTCTGTTATAGTGTCAGTCTTTTTAAACAAACATTGGTTTTGTTAAAGCACTAAATTGAGTTTATTATTACTAATATTAGTAGAGGTAGTATCAAAAACCAAGAAAGATCCTCAAGCAGTTATCAATTTGAACTTCTAAAATGAGGTCTGTGAGCTAGCTGTGTTTATTTAAATGTGTAGAAAGGAAGACACTAGTACAGGCTTTTAATCTGGACCTTTGTGTTTTGAGACAATGCTGTGCTTTTCTGTGTCATTGGGGATCCTAGCAACAAACCACAGGAAGCCCTTTCTATTTGAAGCCTTTTCTATTTTTCCCTTTTTCTGACTTATAAACAGCAAGTAGAATGTAATATTGTGCAGTGGTTAAACACAATAAAAAACAGACACTGGGAAGCTGTAATTTCTTGCCACTCCATTGACCTCTGGCATTCTAATGCATAGACTTCAGTAATATGGATACTGATGACCAGTGACAATTAACAGCAACAAAACTACTTAGACAGACCACCTGTGGAACCATTTCTTGTGGATTTAGGATTTAAACGTCCCTTCTTATAATATTCATCATCAACTAGTTTCCTGACTTCACAAATGTGATTTTTCATTTTTTTGTAGGAAAATAATATCCTCCCATTGTGTCTCTTCATTTAAATATACACTGTGCAAAAACACTCTCCTTTAATAAAAAGTAAGAATATAACAAAAGACTCTCACGCTGAGACAACCTTTGTATTCCCATTCTTCAACAGAGAATGAGGATAAAGGATTATTTATTATTTTTTGTTTGGTTGTTTAAAATACTATTGTACTCTTTCCGCAATTTCCTGTTTTTTCATTTCCTCCTTCTTGCATATCTTAATTTATTCCCTGTTGTCGTGCCAACTAGCTATTATATCGAAAACAGTTCTGGAAAAGACTTATTTTAGTGGATCCTCAATACTGATTAACACTAGGAGTCATATAAACCACATACTGTAGGCGTGCAGAAATGTTTAAAAGTGAGAAAAAATGAAAATGTCTATGCAATTGTGTTATCTAACATTACAATAAAACAAGTTCCAGGAACTGTAAATGTAAATTCAGAAATTAATGGCTCTGGTGAGTACTCAGTCTTTGTAACTGCAATGGTAACCTGAAGGCAGGGCAATCAGGTGAAGGTTATGCATTCAGATTCTAGGTGGGGCATTGCTATATACCCTTGAGCAAGGAACTTTTGATCATTTCACTTAATTGCCCAAAGGTATAAATCTTGACAAATCGAAGTTAATATAAAAACATCATCCAAATAAATGTATTACATGTTACATCCACATAATAATAATAATAATTGCTTACACTTATATAGCGCTTTTCTGGACACTCCACTCAAAGCGCTTTACAGGTAAAGGGGACTCCCCTCCAACACCACCAATGTGCAGCATCCACCTGGATGATGTAACGGCAGCCATAGTGCGCCAGAACGCTCACCACACATCAACTATCAGTGGGGAGGAGAGAAGTGTAATGAAGCCAATTCATAGATGGGGACTATTAGGAGGCCATGATTGGTAAGGGACAATGAGAAATTTGGTCAGGACCTCAGTTTTACATCTCATCCAAAGGACAGCGCCTGTTTACATACACAAAAGGATTTAATTTTCAATCTAGAACTGCTGAATGAAAAAAATGTGCGTATTTTGAGAAAATGTTCACCTCTGTGATATGGTTTGTTTCCAGGTATGAGTCCCGGAATAAAAATAGTGTCACTTCAAAAACTAGCATGTTGGGAATTTTGTGGATTTTTATATAAGGACATTGGTAATGACCTGCAGGTTGAGTTTCTGAAATTAATCTTCAGACAGAAAAAACAACTCAAATTAACATTTAGTCAAATAGAAGCATTACACAAATCCTCAGTGATTCTGTAACAAGAATAACACACTCCTGTAGATCATTACCTAGTTCCTTTTCCTTGGTCAGTAGCCCTTGTAAATATACCTATCCAAGCTGTCAGCTTCAAACCCCGCCATATAATGTCCCTGAGAAAAGGAAGGGCTAGGGTTCATGAAGTTTATTACAACTACTGTATCCTCCATTTATATATCTTCACACTTCTTTGTGTGCTTGAGCTACTGCCAAGAATACATCATTTTGACAATATTCCTAGGTTAAAATTATACAAAAATCATTTGTTTCCACATCCTTTAAAAAAAAGTTATATCTAGGCACCAAGCATCAAAGGGGTTATGACTGATGTCATTGCAAAACATCTAGCTTCCATTAATGCTGTGATCACTTGGAGGGCACAACTCATTGTTCTTCAAAGAATTTATTTTTCTCTCGCTGCTGTGCTCAGACTCCAAGTAAGATAAACACAGCCATCCATAGAGAGAGAGATTATTTTGTTCTGTGCGCAAGTTAAGCATACCAGCAGAGGCTACGATTCTGCATCTCTCTCTGTGAATTAAGAAGGCAAGAAAATAGCCCTGCCTTGGAAAGATAATGGCCAGTCCTCAGGGAAATGGGAGTGGAAGTCATGAAACAGGAAAAGAGTCTTAAGATGAATGGTTATCAGAGCCGGAACAAAAATGCTGCCCCTTTGAGATCAGTCACACATCCTGTCATGCTTTCCGTGGCATTTTTTGCAGACCACACTGATCGTCATGTGGACGTGCTTTTCTTTCATCATTTCTACAGCACAGATTAAAATAGGTCTGCAACTTGTGTATCGCTGCATAACATACAGTAAAATGCCATAGAAATAAATCATAGAAATAAATTAATTGCAGAGTACTAATGGACAATACAAAGGCATAGGTTGCTGTTTTTAACTAACAGTATGGCCCTTTTATATATTAACAAAATATGAGTTATAATTTACTTCAGTTTAGTGGAATATTTTGGCACTTCCTGTGCAACCTGTGATGAAGTGCATCTTGAAGACAATTCTAGGAAACAGTGCTATCAATTAAACAATAAAGGCAGTGGCAATTGCAGCTTTTAGCTGATTTTCTGTGTGGGTAATAGAAGACACATACCTGGGTCTTCTTGGCAGAAGTGTGTTCATGCTGCTGGGGAATAATTAAGCTGACTCAGTGCAAAGGTTGCCAAGATAAACCACAAGCCAAAAGTTCTGGACACAGTGACTGATACACAGAAAGACTCGGAGTAAGAACACTGATTATTCTTCACTGTACGCCATGACTTACTGAAATAATATACAGTATTTTCAAGGTAAAAAAAAACTACATGGCACAGCTTCTGAAATTTGCTATGGATATCATTGCACATTACTTGTGTGCATCAAACGTTATGGTCTGTTATACAACAAAAGATGCATAGGCTTTTATACTGATTACATCCACAAGTAATATTGTATAACACAATATTCATTTTAAAATAATACTTGCAGATGCTTTTCATGTATGCTATGTGCAAGTGTGGAGATACATCAGTAAACATTTGTTAAGAATTTCTTTCTCTCAGTGTTAAAAATGCATGTTTTTTAAAGTAAAAAACTAGGCAATTTCAATCAATTTAATGTAAATGTCTCTATGGGAGCTATAATAATTCTCCATTGTAACTTCTTTTCTGAAAAAGATCCTCAGCCTTACTGTACATGACAAAGGTCAGTTTTTGAAGAGATAGCTTTCATCAATTGTTCATTTTTCTGTTGGCTTTGGGTTTTTTTTAAATGTCAGTATGGCATATCGTGAGGACAGAATTTCAACTGCTACTGTATGTCAAACCCATCAATTTACTTTGCAAGTATTCAGTTTTATTATTTTAACTCAGCATATATTGCCGTTATCCTGGATGTCTGTGCCTATCATTCAACAAAACTAAAATGACTTTTTGCCCATATCTTGATTAATTTTTCAAAGCTCCACAGCTGAGGATCTATAGTCATTTTACACTCTCTGAATTTAAAGTCATTACATTTACAAAGACAGAACAAAACAATGTTTTAGCTTTGCTCCACAATGAGTATGGACATGCAAGATGATGACAATATGAAATTGCTGTGAGGATGACACATCAGTTAGTTGAAATTCATGGAGACACTTTGCTTACATTGAGTGTAAATGGCAAAACCACATACTTTCTGACAGCCCTCTGTACTCCTGCAGAAAGGCCTTCAGATGTCCCCCCGAGAATATAAGCAGAAATGCAACCATGACAAATGGCTGACAAGGTTCTCTCTATCACACTTAAAAAGAAGTTCCTATCTGTATAACCTACTGATTTGTTGCTGAAGTTTTAAAAAAAGAAACAAAGAGCTTCATGCAGAAACATTAAAGATATGGGGACCTTTCAAACAAGCATAGGCCAATATAACATAAATGGATGTTTGTGCTGGTGCTGATTTATCACCCACAATCCTCCAAAAACAGGATCCCCTAAGTCTTTTTTACAGACTGTGAAGAATCTGACTGAATGAGGAAATATGCAAAACATTCAAAGTTAACATTGACCAATTTAAACAGAAGTTCCCTAAGAATGCTTATAAGATGCTATCTCAAAAGTGAAAGCTAATTTTAAGAACACATTTAAAGCTTTCTCTAGAAACAAAAATATGTGTGTACTTTCTTTCTCAAAAGGAGCTCATAGAATAAGGAATGCTATAAAACAGAACTGACATTTTATTTATAACTCCAGAAACTGCCAATTTTTACCGAGATCCACCACAGAGTTTTTCCATATGTGTCAATACCTGAGAGATCCCTTTTCATGCAAACTTTAGATTAAGCAACATACAAATATATTCCACACATTTAATGCTGGAAATGATGTCTATGACTTTCACTTTTGTGCTTAGTCCATTTTTACATGCACTCTTTTTGGTAAATAATATAACATGTGAAAATAGATTACATAGTAACAGCACTTGTAAACATGGCCCCATAAAGCTAAAATACAGCCCAGGAGTCTGGAAATCGCCTCCAAACCACTAATGATTTCAAACTTCAAACTCCATATATAAATTCTTGGTGGGAGCTCACTTCATTGTTGTAGATTCATGTAGAGAAAAAGGTCCCTGAATTGCATCAATTTTTATAAATCTGGAGGAATATGGAACTTGCATTATTTCTCAGAACTGAATAACAGATGTCAAAACAAAATCATGCAAATATAAGTCACTGGGAAGATCCATTAAGATGGCCATACAGGCAATCTTCACAGAGGTCAACCACAAGATCTGTTTTGTAAGACATATGCATTGCTATGAAAATCTCTTAATTTTAGACATTCAAGCAGTAGAAAGTACTCTGCTAACACACCTAATAGATTGTCATGAGAGAATAAGAACTAGTTCAAATTGTCCAAGAACTGTGTGGCCAATTGCAATTTAAAAATGCACCCATATAATATGAAAAGAAGCAGAAACTTACAGGATGGGGGTGTGTATTCTGATAAGACCTCACTTTGCAGCAAAGGGGGTCTTTTCTGTAGAGTATTGTCAGCAGCACCAAGATAATCACAAAGAAGACCATGCAGGACACTGGAGAGGGAGAGATTGGAAAGGGAGAAATTGTAAAGTCAGTACTTGTCTTTTCAATCCTTGTACTTGCATTTGCAATAAAGTCTCTCAACAATCCATTTAATTCCATTCTCTTGCAGTCCAGTACTTAGCTGCAAGCATGCCTCAGTCATAAAAATAGACTGAGACAGGATTGAAGAATTAAGAACCTTCTTGTAACAAATTGTGTTGGATTATTTTAGAGTAGCCACATGCTCTTAATGATTTCACAATGGTTTTTACATGCAGGTCAGATTAAGAGACAGCTGAAAGTGAAAACAAAAGTGGGAGTTTGTATTGATCACTGTCAGTCAATATCAGGTTATCACTATCCAACCCCATTCTTCTGTAAAATAATTGCAGCAGAACACAGGGATCCCGAGGCCCATGTGACTTTCCGGAGGAATAGTGACATATGACCAAAACTAAACAGTTAAACAGTAATTAATGCCCACCATTGGAACAATAATGCCATTTTCAGTATAAGAAAAGCTGAATGAAAGGAAACAGGCCATTTGGAAGTCTCATCATCACTTTTACTTAGGTTTGTTAGTTTTATTTTTGTCCTTTTGAAACTTTTAAACAAGAGACAACAGACCGAACTCTCACCGATATAAATTCTGAACGTGTTCCTGTTAATGTACAATTATTCCAAACTACAGATAAAACCATCACGTTTAGTGATTTTATTTATTTGATCTGTTTGCCTTCTTAAGGAGATAAGAATTGCTTCGTTAATCCACATGGCCGAACCAACGTAAAACAAACAGGCCTACAGTAGATAAGGGCGATAAGCTTCTAATTTAGCTAAGAGAACTGGGTCAACGGGTCATTGTTCACGGCAAATTGTTAATTAATTTGCCCGTGGGATATAATAGTTCAAGAACAGGAATAGCTTTTATTTGTTCAGAAGGATACCAGAATTTCAGACCTGTGCGTTTCATGGTTCATTATAGTTTAATTAAACAGAAAAAAAAAGAAAGTGGCCGGGAATATTATTTTGTTTCGTGTCCTAAAACACACAGGAGTATTATTTTGTAACTAAACAGGTCGTGTGTTCATCAGAGTGAACCCCACTTTTATTAACTTCCCCTACCAGATACCGTTAAAATAAATTACGGTATCGACGTTGTATTATACAATGTAGAAAGTGATAAAAAAACATCTACTGAAATGACAAGTTTTTATTTAAAAATATGAATGCTACCCGTATATGACTGCTTAACCCAAAAATTGATATTTAGAGATTTCCATGGTTAAATGTGAAATGCTCTTAAGAGTTCGCATCTGAAAAGTTACTCTACGGCACAGCTACTTACTTGATGCCACTATGACCGTAAGCTGATCAGCTGTCAGAGCGGGCTGTGTGGTAGGGAAAGCTGTGGTCATTGCGCCTTTCATTTCAGCAGCACTGAAGAACCGTGAACTCCGGCCAGTTCAGGGGTCCGGTAGATGAGACGACTGGTCAGGTCCCTGTTTGCATCTTGCAGGGAGTTGCTGTCTTCACAAGCGGCGACGGGGACTGCTGACCTCAAGTTAAAGCATCACGCGCACACCCACCCACAGTCCCTCTTGTCATCAAGAGATCTGCCGCTTCTCTCGACTTGGCTCGCAGGAATATCCTGTGACGCCGCGATGAAGATCTGTCTTATTACCTTGTCGCACACGCCGAGCTCGGAAGTGCGCTGCTCCTGTCTTTCACGAACACTGCTGGCGCAGCGCACACCGCCGTCGGTGGACAAGAACAAAGTGTGGGCTCTTCACAGAGCCGACTGCTACTATTGCCCCCCAGGACAAAGGTCTCTCCTTCTCCGCGCTGCTGCGAAACATTAACATCAGCGGATACACGCCGCAACGTTTTCCAGAGTCAAACACGTGCTTTGTCCTTCACTGCAAAGCCACTTTGTCGCACGCCTTTTAAATAAGGGACACATCCCCTCCCGACAATATAAAATAAATCTATGTAAAAAAAACACGTCCAAATTTAAACAAAACAAATTACTTCTAAATATGAACGCATATTCTCAACAACGCGAGGAGCATAAAGTGATTAGATATTTTTGAGCGACCTCCGCTTATTTCCAGAGTTTGTCATCGCGGGTTGCTCAAAGGCACTTTGCACAAGAGATCTACAACTTTTCTCTCCCTCTCCTAAAAAGCTCTTAACAATGCTGGAGTCCTCCCAAACCCAGCCGCCAGCCTCACTAGGTATGTGCAGTGGAAACTGTTTCCCAAACTTTATCTGGTCTGGGAGGAGCTCCCCGGTCGTGCCCGCGGCCGGTCAAAGCCCAGGCGCTGCTGTGCGAGGGGGATCCGTGCCCTGCTGATAAAACCGGTGGACAGGACAGCGCATTCCGTCGTGGGAGTCTCTCGTTGCCATGGAGACCGCGGGGAGCCGGGGCTGCGGTGCCCCGCCGCCCTGCGCGTTTCGGCGAGAGCCTCTGCTGGCAGGACTAGGGAAGTGCAGCCTGACGCCGGCCGGTTGCGGACGGGTGTCCACCACCGGAACACAAGTCAGGGGTCGTCCCCCCCCCAGCAGCCCGGGGGCTGGACGGCCGGTGTGACCGCTTTTAAATTGGTTCAGTTAATTCAGTTGCCAGCTGGTTTAGCTCTTTAAATGCTGAGAGAATAAAAATCCACAGAATCCGCAGCGCTCCTAGACACGAACTGAACAGACCCCACTGGTACTATTGTCCCAGAACACTGTCAGCACTGCTAAAAGGACATGTCCTCAATGATAATAAGAAAGCGGAGCGAATGTAGTGGAGGTAAGTTTAATATTGCGAATTGTACGTGTAGTTAAGATGGCTTAGCAGTCCCCACACGTTACAGATCTTCAGGTGAAAACTGTCCGGTGAGCACCGGGAGGATAGTAGTCCGAACATGAGTGCTGTGCTGAGTTGTTGCTATCGTTTAGTCACGGATCGGGTAGTTATGAATGCAATAATACAGAACCGCATTTTCTTGATGCCTTTTAAACCATTTTTTTCCTGAAAACGCATTTTTTTAAACACAATTATTTAACTTTTGTTAACCTTAATTTCGTACTCGTTTTGGTAACTTGTAATGTCCCATTCTGATCGTGAATGAAGTTGTGAATCGTTCGTTTAAATTTTGTTGAAATCCCTTTTTTTGATTAATAAAGCGACTATTAATTGGCATTCGCTCTAGCTGCAGGTGGCTTACAGTATGTATAGCCGGAATTGACTATATAGTTTCTGATGCTCGACCTGTTGGAATGGGGAGGCGTACTGTACCTTCTTTCTAAATCTTTCGCCATATTAGACACCTGAAAACAGGACCACCAAACTCCGATTAATCACCTTGTCCAACAGTTTTATTTTAATCTTTATTTAGGCTTATAAGTCAACTGAGAACAAAGACGGCAACGACCTGGAGAATCATTGGTACACACCAGGGCACTGACTTGAGATAGTCTGAGTTTAAGGACCAACTCCTTGATTAAGGGAGTAACAGCAACCTCCCTTCGGGAACATGAACCCTCAATCGGTGTCCGAAACCTAACCAGGCAATACTGTACTCCATTTTACAAAAGATATACAAAAGAGCTTCTGCCTCTTATCCATTTTTCAATGTTTTAACCGCTACTTCCAATTAAGGTTCGAGGGGAAACCGGAGCCTATCCCGGCAAGCAACGGGCGCAAGGCAGGGTACACTGTGGACACGACGCCAGTCCATCGTAGGGCACACGGAGACACTTATCACCCACACGCTCAAATCAGGGCCAGTATTCTCAGAAGCTAATTAACCTACCAGTATGTCTTTGTACTTTGGGAGGAAACCTGAGCAAGTGAGAACAGGAGGGGAGACCCCATTACCTGTAAAGCGCTTTGAGTGGAGTGTCCAGAAAAGCGCTATATAAGTGTAAGCAATTATTATTATTATTAACATACAAAACTCCACACAGAGAGCACTCCCCGTATCGAACCCCAGGAATCCTAACCACTGCGTCACCGTGCGGCCGCTACTTTTTACGTAAAATGTAAAAAAGGCAGGGCCTTCACAGAGTTTAACGAGAAAGAAAACTTTCTATCCATAAACCTTTCCAAATGGATGCGCTGTGAAAGTTGTTTTGGACGGACTTACAGAGTTTTGTTTGCAGGCAGTTAAAGGTGTTTTTTACATTGAAGGATTTTGATATTCTATTGTACTGTTTAACAGAAAATGTGGAAAAAGAGCATTTATTTATAGTAAATTTATTAGTCATTCTGGGTAAATTTTACATTCATAAATCAAAATGGTCTAATAATACTCCCCTTTTTAGTATTTTTGAGGCGGAGATGAAACACTATTTAAATTCAATAAAAAATGGAGAAATAATATAGCAAGGAAAACTTTTGATATATGTAAAAAATACAATTTGATCACATAATTTACTTCATTACCTCTGGCGGTTAAATGTTTTTTTTTCTTCTGTTTGTGTTTTATTCTCTTGTACCTGTTTTTGATCCTCTGGTTGTAGTTGTATTTGTAAATTCTTTATACGTTTATTATATTTTTTTAAAGGATGCGCTGTGTGTCACTGGCTCCTACACTGTCGTAGCTCCACAGCTCAACTTTCTTTGGTTCTTCTGTATCTATATATCCCTTGTCTGCTAATACAGTATATGAATATTTACAGTTTTAGTTTGGTTTCAGTTTATTCATTGTGAGTGTTACACTATGCTGTGCCATATTTTATTGTATGCGGTATTATATGAAGCATAGCATCACTGAATGTGCAAAATAATACTTAACGAAAATACTACCATCAATATTTATATATATGCAAGACATAAAGTAGTTTCATACGTATTTCAATGCGTAATGAGAACATTAAGTTTACCATATCTTCTACATGTAATTTATTATGATCGATATCCGTCAAGTCGGGATGCTAGAATCTTCGCAAAGGAATTGCGTTTTGTGTTGCAGGATCTATGAGCATTTAGTTGGATCGCAGCAGTTACACGTGTCAGCCGCCCGTCGACACAGTATGGGAGCGCGCTGCGCACGCCCTATTTTAAATCTGAAGACTCCTGACGTCCTTGCGGGCGCGTTCCCGTCCGCGCACTCTTCCATGCGTGCGCGCCCCCGCCGATCTTTAATCAGCCTTCGCATGCGCGCCCCCATCGCGCCTTGTTGGCTCTCACACAAAAGCGGAGACCGAGAAAGATGGTGGCGAGCGTAAGGGTGCAGAAGCTACTCCGCCGTTACAAACTGGCGATTGCCGCCGCTCTGACAATCCTTCTCGTTCAGGGACTTGTGGTGTGGAGTCTCAGGAGCCTGGAGGAAGGGGAGAAAGCGGAGGTAAGGCTTTGACCGATGTCACCGATCTTACGCGATGTGTCGTTCATGATTTTGGATGTTGTCTGTCTATAGACACAGTATGTGACTGTGTTTGCAATGGGCTGGGGAGAAATCTGGCCAGTGCCGCCGCACAACAAGTTCCCAGTGTGTCACTTGCGTTCAAGCGTTTCGTGCCCCCCTGCGATGTGCAGTTGCGTTGACTGCAAAGAGCCGGGGGTCGGTGTGGCTAGCCCTTCTGTTTCTCTTAGAAAGCGATGTGTGCGCGAAAACAAACGTGTTAACTGTTTTCCGCTAGTGCGTATTTGAAAACGAGAACAAGGTAAATGAAGCGCTCTGAGAGGAGCTCAGAAGGCGCCGGCTGTCAGTAAGGTTATTTACGGTTCGTGTTGGAAAAGGCACTGGAAGAGCGAGTTACAGGCATTGTGAGACGGGCAGTTCGGACGCCGAAGTGCAGTGGTCTTGGGTCGAAGAAGACGGCGAGTGGCGAGTCCCAGCGTGTCTGAAGAATGTGATGATTTTCTGTCTGGGGTTTCTCTTCACCTAATGGAACAAAACCGCAGACGGCTTTCCAGCCAATCCCTTCCAGGACTGCTTTCAGACTTTTGTAGTGGGCCACGCACGATAGATTACAACTAACAATTCGCGTATGTGTGTAATACTAGTTTATTCAAAAGTCCTAAATCTCATTCCTCCAAGATAATGTCACTGGGTTCATGCACCAGAAATAAGTATTGGCGTGGTTGCTGCGTCGAGCTTTGCATCGCAGACTAGTGATGCGCCGCTAAGTTGTTCACATAGGTAAACAGGTTTCCTTTTTACGTACGAAATCGGCCATCAGTCAAATCAATGCAGTCATTTAATATTAACTGGTCTTAATGTGTTATTGAAGAGATTCAAGTGCGGCGCTGCGTCAGCGTGCTCTGGTTGCAAAGGGACGAATAAAGGTTAAATACACGCTGAAAAGTAGAAGAAACAACTTATATCCTGAAGAAGGCTTTACAGCTGAGACAACTGTTTCTTCGTTGTTGTTTTTTTCCAGTGTGTAATTATTCTTTACTTATTTATTATTTTGTGTTATTTCTGTTTTTGTTGATGTGCTGCTAAAGTTGTCCAGTGTTTTCGGCTCACTTTCTGTGATCAATAAATTGAGCAATGCCTTCTCCACACCCCGACTCTCTGCCTACCCAGGGCTCCAGTCATTTCTCCAGATTTCACACTTCAGATTCACAGATTCCTTCCAAACACGAATTTCTGGAATGCCACTGAGTGACTCAAAGTGGTGGTTGGGTATCATGTGGTAGATTAACCCAGGTTCTCCTAGTAATTAGCTCCCAACAGTATACCTTCACACCTCTGTTCTCTTTCCACTCCTAGCACTTTCAAATGCACGGAGGAGGGAGATGTCACTAAATCCCATAAGAAACCTGATACAGTACAGCCACTGTGGTGAATCTGTTTTCCTCAGCTGTGCAGACAACTTGTGGAAGGAGACACTCTTCAGTTCCCTTACCCAGTAAGCGTACAGAAGTATGAAATTAAATGATGCTTAAAAAGAGCATGAGGAAGATTACAGACAAAAGGGGGGCATTTGGTCCCTTAATAACTACTGTTTGGTAGTAGCTTATTGTTGCAAGGTTTTTATCCAGGAGGGTCTTGAGGGAAACCAAAGTATTGACTTCAACCCCATGGCTGTGTGGCTTGTTCCATTTACCCAGATCCCTTTGGGTAAAGAGGAGCCTCCTATTTTCTGTCCATGTATTTTCTACTTGTGTGCAGTGGTTTGTGTTTTACTGTTCATTTCGAACAAAGTCCACAGGCCTGCCTTTGAGGATTTTAAATACTTAGACGAGGTCACTTTTTAATTTTCGCCGTTCAAGACTAAAATGGTTGAGTTCATTCAGCCTTTCAGTTGAGGACATTTCTTTAAGTCCCAGAATGCAGTTGGTTGCTCTCTTCTGGACTGATTCCAGAGCAGTGATATCTTTTTTTTTTTGTAATGCGGTGACCAAAAGTGTTCATCATATGTTAAATGAGGCCTAATGCACTGTACGATTTTAACATAACATGCTATGTTTTGAATTATATGCTTTTGCCTGTATAACTAAACATTATTTTTGTCCTTTTTTATTGCTTCCTCCATGCTTCCTCCATGTTGTCTGGAAGATGATAGATATCTGTCAATAGAAACACCCCAGTGTTTTTCATAAATAAAGCATTTCCCAATTTATATTTATAGTTGTATTCATAAGTTTAAAAATAGTTATTTTCGCTGCTATTGAATTTTCTCACCTGTTGCATGTATTGTATGTTTCCTGGAGTTGTCTTCTGGAAACTTTGCTGCCCAATGTCAGGATCAGACTGTGTTCTAAAGAGACGTCTCGGAGCTTGTATGTAGAATCTGCATGGACATCTTCCAAAACGGTTTTGCTCAAGTATAATGGGATTTTATGCACACATCTCCCCAAACTGCTTTTTTAGGTCTCAATTCAGAACTGCCTGTAGTTAATCATCTCTGCTCCCCATCATGCTTGGAAGGACCAGCACAGCCGAGATACCATAGGAGGCATCCAAAATCTACTTCTACATTAGAAACTGCTTTTTTACCCTGTGTGCTCACAGTGCTGAGGGTTGCATCTCATTGACTGCTACTGTACACTGTGGTACTACTGTAACTGGAATCCTAGCAGGCTTTCAACCCAGTATTGGTAAGAAGCTGGAAAAGGGGCACCACAGAGCTCTGCTTACTGTTGGCTAGTGAAGTTGTCCAAGTTTATTTGGACTTTGGGGTTTTAACCAGTGCTCTGAATGAAAAACTTTTATCACGAGAGAATGAGATTTTTATTTTGTTGGATCCTGATTTGCTCTGAAGTGAAGTGCTTTTAAAAATGGTATTTTTTTAAACTTGACAAAGTCTTATGAAACCGTAATGCAGGGTCAGTAAGTAGTGTAGTGAGAAAAAGACTGAAAAATTTGCTAGACTGTGTACTAAGACAACTATCAATAGCCATCGATGATTATGAAGAGCTAAATTGCATTGCAGTAGGACATGTGGTTAATTAAGGAAAATCTAAACTGGTAGTGGATTGCATGGTGGTGCACTGGTTCGCATTGTTGCCTCTCAACGATGAGCTGCTGGGTTCAATCTCAGACCTGGGCTGATATCTGCGTGGGCTTTGTATGTTCTCCGTGTGTTCTTGATGGTTTCCTCCAGGGTTCGATTCCAGACTTTGGGAGCTATTTGCATGGAGTTCCCTCCTGCAGTCCAAATATATAGTTGTAGGGTAATTGATTTCTGGGAATATTGGCCCCTTTGTGAGTGTGTGTGTAAGTGTTTGTGTGTTCCCTACAATGGACTGGCATCCTGTCCGGGGTTAATCCTGCCTTGTGCCTTTTGCATGCTGGAATACTCTCTGGATTCCCCACAGTGCTGTAAATAAGTTAGAAAGTGGATGGAATGAGGGTACAGCAACTGTGAAATCTCATGGGTACAGCCATGAAAGATTAACCTTTCTGGTTGTAGGAACCCTGTTTCGATCCTTAGCTGTAATAGTGCTAATATGCTTCCGGTTTCCAATTTAAGAAACGTTTTGTCTTTCCTCCCATAAATTGAGTCGGCACACGTAATAAAACCCAAAGAGCGAACGACAACAGGGCTCTGGGGAAAAAAACAACACATAAACAGGAAATTGAGGACGTGAGAAGTGAATTTTCAGGCAAATATCCTTTAGACTTCCATTGAAGCCTGTAAGTGTGACTGCAGACATCTGTCTACAAGTGAGACCCGATGCTTTCGGTCATGTGCTGTAATCTGCCAGTACCACACTGTGTGCACCTTACGAGGATGTGTAAAAGAAGTAAGCCTTTTAACTGAAACAAAAGACCACAGAATCACATTATTTCCTGCAAGCCGGAGAAATAATTATGGGATTTTGGCATAACCTGAGATGTTTTGTGTTTGAATGTCATTTTTGTGGGCGGCACAGTGGCGCAGTGGTTAGCATCGCTGCCTTACAGCGTTCAATTCCTGGGGTGGTACCTGCGTGGAGTTTGTATGTTCTCACCGTGTTTGCGTGGGTGTCCTCCGGGTGCTCTGGTTTTCTCCCACAGTCCAAAAACATACTGGTAGGTTAACTGGCTTCTGAGAAAATTGGCTTGGCATGTGCAAGTGCCCTACGGATGGATGGTTATGATGTTTGTGAAGCAGAAGCATCATTGAGTATGAATAATGGGTGGAGGGTAAAATAATTGAAATCACATTCTGAGCAATGGCATTACACATGATGTCCAGCCTGAAAACGCACCAGTACTGACAATCCATAGGAAGGGCTTTGCACAGACATGGGGTTGACTGTTAGCTTAAGGAAGCAGGGACTGTTTTGTGCAGTTGTGCTGTGATGCCTCCCATAGAATGGATAGAGGAGTTTGTTAAGGCAATTTTGCTCATTTCATCAAGCCTTAAATTATACAATTATTTGTTTTCTCAAATCCTTGTGATTCTTTATATAGAGAAGTTTTTCTTTGTAAGTACTTTTTTGTAAGTATCTGAAGATGTTAAGTGTACTCTGTTCTTGTTCAAGGTTGTTTTAATCTGAAGAGGTTTAGTTCCTTTACCCTGTGAGTGTATGTAAATCCTGGATTATTCTTTTTGCTCCGTTTTCTTGGGTGGGGTGCTGTGAGTAGCCATTGTTGAGCACGTTCACTGTTTAAAGAGCAGTTCTATGAATTCTTGGCACATTCAGCTCTGCTGCCCTGGAGCAAAGTCAGAAAAAGCCGTGACCGCAGGGAGAGCTAAATGATGGTGGAGCAGAGGCTGGTATCTGCTGAGAGTGTTGAACAGGAAAAACAGTCAGTTCAGTGTGACACAGCACTGCTCTGTTGCAATCCTCAGAAGCCTTGGTCCTAAGTTGTGTTCCTCTAGGTCTGCTATCAATATGGAAGTCGCATATTATTTAAGACTTATTAACAAGTGGGAATGTTCAAGATTACTGAAATTCTCCAAGATTCAGTACATTTGCTCCTTCACCTGACTGAACCCCTGGATCTTGATATCCCTGTCCTTTCACGACTTATCTGTTGCAAGCTCTATAGGTGATAAAATGGTCCAACCCAGATTCGCCAGCATTTTTCTTGTGAAACACCTGAGGGAGGATTATTGTCATGCAGTTGTAAATGTATTCATTAAACATTAATTTGTGCTGACTTCTTAAGTTTTTGTTATGAAGCTGCAGGCTCTGTGCCTTGTCACACATTTAGTCTTGGGCATTACGATTCCTTTGTTGTTCGTTCTCTGAAAAACCCATCTACCACTTACCTTCAGACAAACCAGCAGGAATTTTGTGTCATCTGGTGTCTGTCTCCTTCTCTGTGGGAGTTTTCTGTCCTTTAATTTTCCCTCTTTGTTCCTCAGCCTTCAAGCCACTTAGATGTTCGATTTTAGGGACTCTCAAGTCTCCCTGAGTGCCTGTGGTGGGGAAAAGCAGTAACAAATGTTGGGAGGCCAGGAAGTGGCGGGGGGAGGGGAGGGTTTAAAAAAAGTTGTTTTTCAGAGAATAAACCTGTTAATAAGGGCTTGAGAATCTTGTTTTGTATTGCATAATTGCAGGGCAGAATAATATGCAGTTCGTTTAGCTCAAAATGGAGCATAGAGAGAAGATGGTTTAAAAGACAATTCTTTTATATAAAGTTGGGGTGGCAGATACTGTGCAAGCTAAATACCCTGGTTTTGCTCAGTTATGCATAGAACACTGTGAATTGTGTGAGGGTCTTTGGGGTAGGAATGAGAGCGTATTAAGGAATGCAGAAAACATTCCTCGGCTGTAGGTTGAGACGTGTAGTAGTGCAAAAAAAAAAGAGCTAACAGCTGTACAGCACATCTGAAGGTATATCTTGTCCATCTAGTTTTGCGAAACATGAGCCTTTTGCTTGCATGGTTGCAGTAAAGAGATTAGAACAGGAAAGTGAGTTCCTTCAGAGTGTGACTCCGTAATCAAAGTATGAACTAATGGTATGCTTGGAACAGCACATAGATTTATTAGTAGGATATAGTTTTCCCAAGACATTTGTGTCAAGTTATTGACATTGTGAAATAATAGTAAAACATAACATTTGTTGTACAGTATATGTGGAGCTGTGGATTACAGTATTAACTAAAATACAGAAACTTTATAAATTCTCAATCACTTTCAGAGTCTTTGAGCAAAGAGCAGCTTTTTGTTTAGGAAAAAACGTTTTGAATTTCTGTTGAAAATTGGGGGTTTACTGTTGAGGCTCTTGTATGCAGTCAAGCATTAACCCAGTAGAGAAATTGCTTTGATAAGAAACATTGAACCTTACAGACAGTGATCCCTTTCTGTTACCCTTATTTAGACACATTACTGGGGACAGCCCACACAGCGCTGTGCCTCTGCGCTTAAATGCTTCCTGCCTGCAGTGTCACCAGTGTTCACTGTGGTGCCACCAGTTTTCCTGGTTTGCTTAGTCATATGAGCTCTCTCATGCACTCCTAGCCAGATTCTGGGATTCATCTAAGTCAGAAAGGTCACTGTGACCCCAGGCACTGAACATCTTGCTAATGAAGCAACTTGGACTTAAACCCATTGCGTCTAGGTGCAGTGGAGGCTTTCAGCTAAATTTAAGCAGCTGCCATGTGCATTGTAGAGGTAATTAATAGATGTCCATGTCTTGGGCAATGGCGGGGGGGTCCTGCAGATAAGGCAGGTTCCCTCGCTGGCACTGTGTGTCCTGGGCATCTGTACTCATGGCACTTTTCCAGTTCTTACAAGAACTGTGCACTGAGTGCAGCTATGGGATGATTAATTCACATGAGCAGATAAAAGTGTGTTGTGGCTGGCAGGGTACTGCCTCCCCACGGGCTGGTTTTTATCAAGGTCTTGGCATCAAAAGTGATTTATCCTTTTTATTTAAATAATCATTCTTTTTCAGTGGAAGGTCGAAGTAGGTACTGTAAAGTTTTGTGTAGGAATGTCCCTGTCAGTGCCATTTCTGCTTCGGTAATTCTATCAAGGCATATTCAGATTGCTGAAAAACATGCCTTAGACAAAACAGTGCCTTCTGTCGTTCCCAGAAAGTTTTTCTTTATGGTGCGGCTGGATTCCTTGAGAGCCTAAGACATAGGTTGGAAAAGGCAGCCCTTTGGATTGTAAATGTTTGCATATGTTGCATAATCTTCATAACAGTGCAGAACTTTGGAAGATAAACACCTATTGCATTGAAGTTTCAACCTTTTGACCCTAGTTTGACTAAATATAAGTTCGTAAGTCTGTGATGTTTAAAATATTCTGGAATGTTTTTCCTTTCCACAAGTGCAAATTTGTAAAGAGCCTTTCTATTGTAGTCCATAAATTAATCAAACTGCTGTACAGTGAGCTGTATGTTTTCCTGCCATTCCTTCTATGAACAACTGTCAGTATTAAAAGCAGCACTCCTCATCACCACCAATCTTTTAGTTTCCTATTAACTTTTTTTGAAGTACTCTGTAGCCAGCAGGTGTATAAAGGTATTTTTTAAAGCATACCATTATAGTTTTTCTTCCAAAAATGTCTGATTGAAAGGTCCCTGAAACATTTCCTTGTACTTGAACAGGTGAACAGTAAAGAGAGCTTTTAGACCCACGTCCTGTACCTAAGCCAACTCTGTCTCAGAAATATCTCATCCTCTGTTTTATGAGAAAACAAATAATTCTATTATTAAAATCCCTTTTGTAGCCCAATCAGAAAAATATCTAGCTATCAAGCCATATTTGCTTTATTTGCAACTACAGAAGGACTCTTCATTGTGGCAGGCAATGTTTTCAGAACTCAACAGTGAAACCCAAGTGATGTATATTGTTCCTTGAATTTGTAGATGCTCTTTGAATTAATACAATTAACCTCAGCTTCGATTAGTGAAGTCTGTTTTTTTGTTAAGAATTTTTGTTATACCGCACACATACAAAAAGCTGTATAGATTAAATAGTTTGTATACTACCTTTGTGTTATTACAGGTAAAGGTGGCAAAGTTAAGTCTTATTGTGTTCCTTGAATGGCATTCATTTTTCTTTCTTGTTGTGTTCTTTTAAGTTCATAAGCAACTTAAATCATACTGTACTGTTATGTAGTATCACTGCACTGTCCCTGTCAACAATGAGCTGTAAGAGAAACATTTCCTTTGCAGGGAAAGGGAAATGCTAAAAATAAGAGGGATGTTGAGGACGTATGAAAGATTACAAACAAGGGGAGGCCAGGACTTTTGTCCCATCCAGCTCATTAGGTTGCTTAGCTGCTCAAGACCCCTCTTTTCACACAAGGCTTTGTGTCCTGATATTCTGTTCTAAATGTGCTTCCTTGTGGGTTTCTCCTCGTGCCTGCGGTTCCTGTTTTGTTCTGTGTGAAGAAGTCCAGTGGGTTGACCTTGTCCGTGTCCTCAAGGCGTTTGGTTGCTTGTTGTTGACAGGTATGCTGTTGCCTTTTTTCTGCAGAGGAGGTCGAAGCTGCCCGACAATGGTCAGGATCCCAAGAAGGAGCGTTTGGGCAGTGATTGGCAGAACAGGCTTTCCAGGAAGAATCGGAGTCGATGGAAACCGGGGATAGAGGGGCCGGGGGGCACGGCCGCCAGTGCCTTCCGGCGGAGCACTCAGCGCCGTAGGCCCCCTGCCAGCCTCCGGAGCTCTCAGGGGCAGGGGGGCACAGCAGAGGGGGTGCCCTACGACCCCTCCAGCAGCCGCAATTTTACCGATCTCAAGGGGGAGGGGCGCTTCCTCACGGCGCAGCACGGCGACACGGGCAGCGTGGAGGGCGCCCCCCAGGCCCCCAGCAGCGACTTCGTACCCAAGTGTGAGATCACGGGCAAGGACGCCCTCTCAGCCCTCGGCCGTGCCAGCTCGCGCCAGTGCCGCCAGGAGATCGCCAACATAGTCTGCCTGCATCAGGCCGGAAAGCTGATGCCTGAATCGGTCCCACAGTATTGCCAGCAGTACGGTGAGCCTTCTCCTTTCCCAATCCAATCAAGGCAATGTGATGTTCAGCTGAGGTCCAGACTTCTTGCTCTTTAAAGATCCCATGGCACTGTACTCCAGAGCTGGGGTGTTCGCTCTGTGTGCTGGCTGAATTCCCCTTTGAGCTTGAATACTCTGGCCTTCCTTCGTAATATAATTGATGGAACAAGTTCTCACTTTTCCATCTGGTCTGCTGTGCAGTCTGGCTGCTGGTGCACCAGGGAACTAACTGTGCTCTTCATTAGTGGGTGTAGTGAGAGTTCCCTCCTTTGTGTGAATTGCTTTGGGATCCTTAGGGATAAAAAGTGCAAAACACAAAAGGTATTGTTATAATATATATACTGATTGAGAAAAGAAAAGCAACATTTTCTGGAATGAGAATACTATAGTTATAGCTTATGTACTTTTACAAAAAGTTGTCAATTTGTTTTAAGTCCTCTGGCAAGTTGCAGTGCCTCACTGCACAAGCTGTATTGCTGGTCAATCACACGAAAGCTCGTTAGGTGCACTTTTACCCAACGAGGTCCAGGTGGAACAAGGCCTGATCAGGTCACCTTTAAAAAGGCTGGCTTCACGGATGACTCACTCTTCAGTCTGTTCCATGCAGACGGGAGGGCCACAGTCTGGAAGAGGCTGTGTTTAGCGTTTCTTTTTTCCATCGGTATATTTACATGCTCCTATTATTTTGTCATTTTGAAGGACAGCTTTTTTGTTTGTCATAAACTTCAGTTTATTTTGTTCATCTCTCTTTGGACTTCTGATGCTCATCAGTAGTGAAGGTCAGTGAGTTGGCAAACAATTCAGCCTTGCTTTATTTTATTGTTTTTATATGCAACAATCAGTCCATAAACCCAGTTATTTTCAAAGCTGTGTTTGAAGGTACCTAAATAATTAAGGAGCCACGGATTGCAATGCAGAGGAATGAGCAGTCTGTCAGTTCATTGGATTTTGGATACACACACACAAATAAACAAGGGATGAAAGTTTGTATCTGGTTGATGTGCTCCTGTGCCTGAGCCTCTGTGTGTCTTTAATCCCCAGGCCTGTCCAGCCCCATACTGCAGTGGGAGGACATTGACACAGACCTGTCCAAGGTGGACAACCCGGTCAGGATAGCCTTCATGCTTGTAGTCCATGGGCGCGCTGTTCGACAGCTGAAACGGCTCATTAAAGCCATTTATCATCAAGATCACTTTTACTATATCCATGTTGACAAGGTAGGCTTTCACCTTTCATTCAGGAAAGTTGTTTGGGCCTGTTAAACAACTGTCTTCAACAATTGCATTCTTCATTTTTTCATTGTGTCCGAAAAGTGGGCTGTGAAAATGTAATCACTGAACTCTATTAGCCTCGTTCATGATTATGGATGATAAAATTCTTATTCAGTGTCACGGCAAAACTAGACATTCAGAGGCCTGTAATTTAAAAATGTCTTGTGCATTTCTTGAGGACATTGTTTAAATACGTGGCCTCGTGTTTTAAAATTAATCTTGTCTCTAATAGTGATTTTTTTTTTCATTACAATTTTATATTGTACTACACACGTACAAAAAGCTGTAGATAACATATGATATTACTCTTTTTCAGAATCATAGATAATAAAGGTCTTATTCAGTGCCATAGCTGAAGAAGGCAAATTGAGTAATTTAAAATTTCATGAGTATATATTTATAAACTATGTTATCAAAAATAAAAAAATTGATTGAAAATAAAGACCTCTCCTATTCGTCCGGTCCCACCCATTCCTTCAACAGCAACTCTGTTTGGTTAAATGGATACTTAACCAAGATAAAGATAACCGTGGACTCCCAAGATCTGATCATCTTAGCACCATGGATACAGGCTGTGGAAAGTTACAAAAATGTCCAGAAACAGGAGAGCCATTTTGTTTAATTACATGGCATCATTATTTTGATTTGACATTGGGCATGAAGGGAATTTTATGACTGGGCAACTTTCCATGTGAAATGATTTGTCACAGTTTCAGGTATATGTCAATCCTAAACAGTTAATTATATTGTGCACTTCCTTAATTCCATTCCTGCCTTAGCGTTTAAATTTGTTGCTTCAGAATTCATCCATTAGCATTCTATTATAGCCACCTTTCTATGATAAACCAACACACACCTGAAGCATAATAGAATGTACTAAGAAACTCGGGGGTGTTAAGGTTTCAGGTAAAATTAATCCCAGAATTCCATTCTCCACTTGTGGTCTGACTGCCACACTTAGTTTATTGTGCTCAAAGATTAAAAGGGATTTAAGATATGGAAAAGAATGAAAATCCAGAAATATTTTTTAAAGAAGGGGGATATAGAAGGTTTAAGCATGCATTAAGGTGTTTTTTAGGCATTAAAAAAGCATTTCTTTTCCTTGGTCTGTGAGGGTGATTATTAAACTTGGTTTCCTCTTGACTGTATTCAACAAAGTTCCCGTGATTCTTGTTTACCAGTGTTTGCTTGCTTTAATTAAAAGCCACTGAGTCCGCATTGAGCCTCCAGTGCTGCTGCTGTGTGATAAAGCACAAAGCAGTTCCTGGAAAAATGACAGTGGCGCGTTGACATGGTTCAGCTTTGTTCCCTTTTTGACAGCTCTACGGTTTCATTAAGGGAGGGTAATGAACTTCAAGGGGCCTGAGCTTATCGTCCACCAGAACTAATCTGCCTCTGCTCCTGTGTAGATCTTTCTACAGCACAGCTAACACTATCAGTCAGACAGTAGGTGAAGACTCCCAAATGCTGTTTTTCTTGCTTGGGAGGAATTAGCTAAAAATATTGTACCGCCATTGCTGTTGATGTACTTGCTGATTTATTTTTGGTGCCTTAAAATGGGCAGCACGGTGGTACAGTGGTTAGCATTGTTGGCTGTAGGGTTCAATTCCTGACCTTGGGAAATGTTTGCATGGAGTTTCCTCCCAAAGACACTGGTACTGTAGGTTAATTGGCTTCTGAGAAAATTGGCCTTGGTGTGAGTGTGTGTGTGTTTGTGTCTGCAAAGCGATGGACTGGTGTCCCATCCAGAGTGTATCTTGCCATGAGCCTGTTGATGGCTGGGATTGACTGCAGTTCCCTCTGAGCCATAAATTAGAAAATGGATGGATGATATAGAGGCATAATTATTTGCCAGTATAGTATAATAAAAGCATTGTAGCATTTTAGTTTCAGTTTTCTAGCCTCCAGTGTTACAATTTATTTTTTAGCACAGTAGATTCTTCTAGTTGGAAACCGGTTGTTACACTTTTTGTAAAAGTAGTTTAAGACTTCAACTTGACAAGGAGTAAACTCTGGACATTCTGCCCATTTTTATCTTCTTTTGTTCTTCCCTCCCTTCACTGGTTCCAGTTTGTAGTTATCTCGACAGCTGAAAAACGCTGACACTTTTAATCTTTATCCCCCAGACATGAGCAGCAGCACGTTATTTAAAGGACATTGAACAATTGGTCCTTCAGTAAGTATGATTACAGACAGATTCACTCTGCACCAGTGCCAGCTCTGCATGTGCGGGCACTAGCATTCCTGATCTGAGTGTTCTGCCTAGCAAAGAACTCTGGGGAGCAGTTTCGAAACTTTATTTTTGTTTGTATTTGTTGCTGTCAGCGTTCTCATTACCTGCATCGTGAAGTGCAGCAGATTGCCACGCAGTACCCCAACATCCGGGTCACGCCTTGGCGTATGGTGACGATCTGGGGAGGCGCCAGCCTGCTGAAGACCTACCTGTGCAGTATGCAGGACCTCCTGAGCATGACGGACTGGAATTGGGACTTCTTTATCAACCTGAGTGCCACAGATTTCCCCACAAGGTACGCAAACCTGGGGTTCTAAACTGGGCTGCCTTGAACATGGAGATCCTGTGATTTATCGTTATTCCCCCAAGAGGTGATGTTCTGTAGTCCAGTGATTGTGCCTGTTTTCTGAACAGTGAGAGCTTGAGAAGACTCGTTCAGTGTTGAGGATATTAAGGAGGAACACGGCAATCTGAAACATTATGAAAACCGCAAATCAATGTAAAAGTATAACAAAATGGGAACTTAAGTTAATATTTATATATAGTATATATTGGGACCACAAATAAGTACTTGGGAACAGACTTTGAAAGGCCTTTCTGGTTACTGGAGAAGGATACTGCACTATGAAACTGATGGGTGCAGAGGCATATTACACAGGTAGCTAGAAAAGAGTAGCTGTAAGTATTTAAATCTTCACAATTATTTTAAAAGTCTCTGTGAATACAGCTCTTGCAACACATGATAGAACTTTAACAAAGCTTTCTGGATAATGCTTTCTGAGCAGCGAGAAGTGCTTTTCACTTTATGCTTCTTAAATACCAATTTTGAAGGACCAAAAGATATCAAGTATAGACTTTTTACACTGTGCCATTAACCTAGTGTATATTAAATCACATTTGTGCTTTAACAGTTAATTTCTGAGGGAGCCTCTCTTATCTGACAGACATTTAAGATTCTTCTCTTTTGCTGATTTGTCACTGCTGGATTTTAAAGCACATCAGAATTTTCCTTAAGTAGTGTATAAATCCTTTATGGGCCTATAAGCTTAATAATTATAAAAAGCCCACTAGTGAAGCAGAAGAGTTAGACTTGCGAAACAGATGCAGAAGACACCTATGTTGTCGGAACAGGCAGGGATAAGCTTAATTCTTTTGAGGGGAAAGTCAGCATATTTGTGTATTTGTACTTTGTAGTCAGCATTCATTTCACATTTAATTTTTTTTCATATCAATTTTAAACAGGACCAATGATGAACTGGTGGCTTTCCTGTCCAAATACCGAGATAAGAACTTCCTGAAGTCGCATGGCAGGGAAAATGCAAGGTAACATAGTCCAATCTTCCACAGCTAGCAAACTATTAGCCTTGATATCCTATTAGCTTTTAGAATATTATTTTATGACTGCAGTTACTTTTCAGTAAGTGCCCCTCAATCTTGGAATCCCAATAATGTTGAGGTTCTTGTTCTGGTGACTTTGGGGTTAAGGAAAATGTACACTTTTGTCCAGTGTTAGTGCTGTGACCTCATTGTGTCCACAGTAGAGATAGCATCAATTAAGTAAATTGACACTATTCATTCAAGTCTGATGGTGGCACTTGGTGAAGTGCTTAGCATTGCTGCCTCACAGTGCTGCAGCCTTGGGTACAGTTATTGTCCTGGGGTGCTATCTGTGTGGAGTATGTTCTCCCCTTGTTTGCATTTCTGCTTCGGTGTCTTCCTGCAGTCCAAAGGTATAGTGGTAAGTTAATTGGCTTCTGGGAAAATTGGCCCTGGTTTACATCAGTCCAGTCTGTCTGTGTGTGCCCTGTGATGGACTGGTGTACCATCCAGGGTGTATCCTGCCTGCATCTGTTGCTTGCCAAGACATTCTTCGGGTCCTGTGTGCAGACGAAGCAGTTAGAGAATGGACAGATGGACAATACTGATAGCTCACATGGCTTGCTATAGCACAGAAGACTGTAATTCAGGCAAGTTGAGTTCAACCAACCCACTGGCCCTTGGTTATTTGTGAGCCACCTCTTTAGACATGATCCAGCCTACTCTCTAAATAAACATCTTTACTTCTTGAGCCACTCCAAGACAAGTCTTTGAAGTAAACATAAAAGCCAACAATTTACCTTTTATCATTAGTGTTTTTGTGCTTTGCTGGTGCATAGGAAAGAAAGGTTTTCTTCCTTTGTTGTATGCACTACCTGTAATGCACTGATCTCCGCAATGAATTGCCCAAATTGATTTTGGTTTGTACCTCAAGGAATGAGCACCGAGGAATGCTCGATTTATTTAATTTTGATTTCAAGGATTAGAGATCTGTTTATAATAGCTGTGTTGTGTGTTAGAAATGTGCAGTATTGATTGCTTTGTGGATTGTTTGCCTTCACAGAATAACAAAGTAATTTAATTTTGTTTATTCGAGTTTGAATCATTATAAAAAGAAGAAGGTAAGGTTGAACACGATAGGTCTGAGTCCTTTCTGCAGTACAGCTCTGTAACCTGTCTTTCCCAATTACAGCTGAAAGGTTATCATTGCCTAGACGCCCAAGAAGCCCCTCTATGTCAACTTTAACATTTCCTGGAGTTGAGTGATTTGTAGAATCATTTAAGAAATGCTAATAGTTACTAAAGCCTTTGTGATAGAATAAAAGCTGATTGTTGTGCCGAAAATAAATTAAATCAATCATGGTACTTAAGTGTGCATATAATTGAAATGCAGAAAACATTACCAATGATTTTTCTGTCATTCTGTATTATTCCCTGATCACCCGACTGTTTTCATAAAGGGACTTAAGCTACGCAGAGGTCTGATTGATCTGAAATGTGATTAAGCCAGACTCCAGGTTTCTTTGTCATCTCCCAGCCTTAAGTGTACATGAGTCATTCCCTGCATTGGGCTCTCAGGGTCTCTCTGCTGCTGCAGGTTTATAAAGAAGCAGGGGCTGGACCGCCTGTTCCATGAGTGCGAGTCTCACATGTGGCGGCTGGGGGAGCGACAGATCCCCCAGGGTCTGGAGGTGTCCGGGGGCTCCGACTGGTTCTCTCTGACACGCAAGTTTGTGGAATACGTCATCAATTCCCAGGATGAGCTGGTGTCCAGTCTGAAGCAGTTCTACACCTATGCCCTCTTGCCTGCAGAGGTGAGCTTTGTCAAGTGGACACTTTGCAAGGTCTCTTTGACAACGAGCTGGAAGTTACCTTTAATTGCTAAGACAGTTCCTTATAGAAGTTGCCTAAACCAAACAATCTCGGAGCTTTCTTTATTTTGCTTCATTCTAAAATGCATATTTGAATGCGAAAACTTCTAATGTCCTCATTGTTTTAACAATATGGTGTAACATTGTGCAGTATTTATTGTGGTCCATATACTCTTCACTCAGGTGTCTGCTTCCCTCAGAAATGAGCAATATTATCAGGCACAACACATTGCTTAAAGGCTTTAATGTGGAAAACTGATGCTTCCCTTTCAGAAGAAAAGGATATATTAGGGAGGAAATGGTTTTCATATTGCAATATCATATGAAATAACACACCTTCATCCTGGCTGTCTAATATTCTATAATGCCCTTTCAGACAAAACAAGATTAGAGCTATAAAATAACATGCTTCATAGATTCTAAGTTTAATTAATAAAATAACCCAACTGAAAATATCTTCTTGAGAATAGTTTTGTGTACCCTTTGATTTGGTAACTGGTTGGGATCTCCTTGAGCAGGAATTAATAAAACTAGATGTTTCCTGTAGCTGTTTCAATCTCTTACATCAGCTTTTAGGAATTTTGGCTCTTTCTTTCTTAAAGAAATTAAAGTCTGTGACATTTGATAGGTTCCTTGCAGGAACTACTTTAGATCCTGCCATATCATTTTAATCAGGTTAAGTCAGAACTTGTCCAATCCCAAATTCTAAATTTTGTTCTGCATCCATTCTTTTTTAGATCTGCTTGTATGTTTATGACTTGTCTTTCTGCCTGACCTTTTGGCTCAGCTTCAGAAGATTAATGGATAGCCAGAACTTGTAGGCTTTGGCCAAGTTGAGACGGGTAGCAGAGTTATTTTTAAAGAGCAGTGGTTTCTTCCTGGCTGTGCTCCAGTGCAAACCATTCCCATTCAGTCTTTCCGATTGGTGAGGCATAAACATAGATATTAGCCTGAGGTGAGGCCTGCAGAAACTTTCTAATTCTGGCATCCTGTGTGATTTTCTGGGTGATTTTCCGGGTTGCTTTTATTGAGAGCTTTTGGCAGACTGCTGAGCCTCAGCTGTTCTTTTTTTTCTCAACTACACTCAGATCTCTTTTGATCATGGCCTTATGTGTCTCCACTGACCTATATGGTGAAGACAAAACTCCCAAAGTTTCTGACTATGATATAGGACAGGACTACACAAACCCAGTCAATGTACTTGTTACCCCATTATTCAACCACCTGATTATAATTACTCCCTTAATTGTGCTGAGTTCACTTATTACAGATTATTCATTTGTTTTCTACTTAATACACCATTGTGTCTCCAACAATATTGAATAGGTAAATATAAACTCCTGGTTAAGAAAAACTCCTTGCTTTAGCAAGGGTCTCATGGTAATAAATTGTACTTCTTGTGGTTATTTTGGGGGTTCACAAACTGTTTCTCTACACTGTAGGAGTTCAGTTAAATTGATGTTTGTTATTACTGTTTAAGCTGTCTGTACATGTCTTTTTTTTTTTATGGATGCCCAAGAGCTCACCTGCTCCAAACATACAGAGTGTACACAGGATTGAGATATGTTTCTGATGGCTTTATCATTCAGTATTCATTCAATTAAAGGGGTTGCTTTGCCTTTTTCTCTCAGTCTTTCTACCACACGGTGCTTGGCAACAGTCACATGTGCGAGACCCTAGTGGACAACAACCTGCGTGTCACCAACTGGAACCGCAAGCTGGGCTGCAAGTGTCAGTACAAGCACATTGTGGACTGGTGCGGCTGCTCCCCCAATGACTTCAAGCCCGCAGACCTCATTCGCATCCAGGTGACCCTCTGGCCTCTTTCCTGTCTGTGCACTGTAGTTATCTATAGATCATAGAAAACTAATTCATTTATTGTTTCGGCTCGGATGTGAGAAAGAGAGGGAAATCAGCAGCTGATAAAGCGTGGGGGAACAAAAGCCGGGAGTGGAGAGAAGCAGAGTGGACACTTAGGTTGTGTGAAGTCGAGAGAGGTGAAGAGAGGTGTGAAGTCAAAACCTGCAAATGAATAGAGAGGATTAGAAGGAATGTCATTGATAAAAGGGGGAAGGTGTAATCCTAGTTTCAAAATAATCTTGGTTTCGGATGTCTTTCTGCAATAGGAGTTACGAAACCCCTCTTTGAAAATACAGACAGAAAGATCAGTGTGATCCTGGCCGTTAGATGTGAAATAAGAAACCATGGGCTTGGAGAGATCCTTGATTCTCATATCACTGACATGTTTCCTGATGTGGTTTCCCCAGTCATGGAGATTAGAAAAGCAGGATGGAACTACTAAATTAGACAGAAGACAGGAGGTATAAAACCAGAACTAGAAAAGAAAGAGCCGTTTCCTTTAGACATGGAATCTCCATATCTAGTCCATGTGGGCTAGAGGCAGGCAGATTTTTGTAAGTCTCTTTAAAACTGCACCTGCATAAGACTTAGAAATGCTGAATTATACCAGTCATTCTCCAGAGGTAATAAGATCTTCATGTTTGAAAGTATCTTTAAAAAACCAGCCTGGGGTCCCACAACTCTTCATCTAATTCCAGGTTAGAAACTGGATAAATGACTTTGGTTTCTTTGGCAGTCTGTGCTAGAATCTGAGTTTTGTATAAGTGGAAACAAAAGAAAACTGTTATAATCTTTGGTTTGACTGGGCAGTTCCTTAAACGAGCCTGCACCTTGTGTTGACACTTGCAGCAGCTGACCAGGCCTACATTCTTCGCTCGGAAATTCGAATCGACTGTGAACCAGGAAGCCATCGACATCCTGGACACGCACCTCTATGGGAACTATCCTCCTGGCACCCCTGCACTGAAGGCCTACTGGGAGAACCTGTTCGACAAGATGGATGGGGTGAGCTCCCTGAGCGATGTGGCCCTCACCACCTACTCCTCCTTCTTCAGACTGGGCCTGCGCAGCCTGGGAGCCTCGCAGGGCAGCAACAGCAAGTGCAGGTGCGGTGAGCCCCTCTCCCCCCCCCCCCCCCCTCCCCCCTCCTCCTCCTCCTCCTCCCTCTAGCGCGACTTCGCCCCCCCAGCAAACCCTGCCTAGGAGACCAGCGTGACCTTTCTCTTGGGGAGCCTGCAGTAATCTACTCACAATCTCTCTGGGACATCCATCCATCCATCTGTTTTCTGACTGCTTCTTCCATTTCAGGGTAACAAGGGAGCTTGAGCCGACAAGTTATGGGCTCAAGGATAATGGGCACACAGTTGCAGACATGCACCAGCCAATTCTCCCAGCAGCCAATTAAATTACCATGTTATGTTTGTTTTTAGACTGTGGGAAGAAACCGGAGCACCCGGCGGATACCCACATGAACAAGGGAAGAGCGTACAAACCCCAAGTAGATAGCACCCCAGATCCCTAATTGAATCCAGGCCCCCGACGCTGCAAGGCAGCAGTGGTAACCACTGACCACTGTACCGGCGTTGTCTGGGACAGTGTCATGTTATTCAGAATCCCGTTAGTGACTTCACCTAGCGCTGCAGTTACAAAGCCACCGTGTTGCTAGGCCACACCACCTGTGACACAGCAGCCCAGCACAGGATGTGACAGAGATTCTAAGCAAGGGATAGGCCAATGGATCATCTAGCATTTCCTGTGTAGGAGGAGGCATTCACAGACAATGTTGTGCTTCGGTGTGTGCTTCCTTTGGGAAAATGAACTATTGAGTTGTGCTCTTAAACTCTCTTGTTCTCCATTCAGGAAAGGCATTGTGTATGTATGTACTCATGTCAGTGGTCCATATTAGGAACACAGAGGTTTACATTTTCATGTGCCCGTATTCACTAGAAAATGGTAAATTGTGTTGTGGCATTTATTTCTGATGACTTGGTGGGGAAAAAAAAAGATTTACTCATGCAATGCTTTCTTTTTTAGACCATTTATCACCACACTTTTATAGGATAAATTAATGAACAAGAAATGGAATGAATACAGTATTTTAGTTTAGATCACTCCTGGTCACATCTCTGTCTATGACATTAGTATGAGCAAAATAAAGATTTTTTTTTTTTACTTTTCCATAGTGCTTTAAATATGAATATAGTAAAGTTTATGCTCACACTAGGTTCTATGTGAAAATCTGTCTTGCAAAGTAGGTAATTTATTAGTTTAAAATAGTATGTTGATTTTTTTTCAGGGAAGTGCATATTCTGTTTTTAAGATGCCTTGTTCTTTATTTGTTCTTTAAAATACGGGTAGACGTCTTGGTAGCTATGAGAAAATATTAGAAGTCTCTCTTGTTGTTCCAGGTATGAGCCCATTGGTTACCCGGTCTCGGTCAACCTGTATTTCTATGACGACCGTTTCCAGGGTTACCTGGTGATGCAGGAGGTGCAGAGTGCAGGGACGGGCGAGCGGGAGATGCTGGAGGTATGGGCAGTGCCACAGGCCACCCTGCAGCTCAAGGACAACCTGAAGGAGTTTGAGCGGCTGAAGAACCTGGAGGTATGATGGGTGACACAGTAGAGTCGCACCCTGGTGTTAATACCTGCATGAGCCACTGTGACGCAGCCAGCACGCAGTCCGTTTAGTTGATTTGGCTCTTTAATTTCTTGATGTAACTTGAGTTATGTATCTGGTTTAGGAACTGTTGATCCTAAAAAGCTTGAATTAATATGGGCTGGATGTGCCAAACTTGCCTATCCATGACATAAACCCTTTTAATTGGAATCTGGCCTAATATTTGAACATTTTTTATGTGTATTAGTTTTGCACAAAATGACTTGGATCAGATGTGTCCAGTCCTGGTGCTTGAGGGCCAGTATGTTTCTAGGTCTCTTTAAAGGTACACATACCTGAAAGAGCTGGGAACAAGGGCTGTTCAGTTGGTCCCATTAAGCATATAATGAGCTGAATGAAAACAACCTGTAGATAAAATATTTACACTTTTTAAAGATGTTCTCTTAAACCATAGTTGTCTGGAGATTCACAAAAATAAATTTGCTCTCCTTTCTTGGAAAGGAAAACTTAGGAATTGATTGTGTTCTTCTAAACAAACCTGCAGCTGTTCTACTCCATGCTAGTCCAGTACATTGATACAGGGTTTGTATTTGTCTTTTAACCCAAATACATGCTAATTAAAAGGGATCTGTAACTGAGAGATAAGTGAAACTTTGTTATATAAGAACCAGGAAATGGTAAAGTGCTGCTGTTTGGAAAAGAATGCAAGTAGAACAGGTGGCAGCTTGCCTGCAATTTTAGTACCTTTGGTTTAATAAAGCACAGCGGCGCAGTGGTAAGCATTGCTGCCTTGCAATGCTGGGGCCCTGGGTGGGGGTGTTTAGTGTCTGTGTGTGCCCTGTGATGGACTGGCGTCAAGTCCGCGTTGTGTCCTGCCTTGCATCTGTTGCTTGCTGAGGTGGGCTCGACCTCCCCTGCAGCCCTGTATTGCAGTGGTTCTCAAACTGTGGTACGCATACCAGGAGTGGTACCCGGAGCGCCGCTAGCTGGTACGCCATATCACCCTGGAACTTTGTTGTGTGCGCTGAAAAATCAGGGTGGGTTTTCATATTTTCTATTTTAAGACGTGTTGAATATGCAGCCTAAGTACTACGATACAGCGCGCGCTAATACTTGAGTGGACACAGAGCTACAATGTAATTCTGTTCCATTCTATAGGAATGTGTGCTACGAACCCAAGTGACCAATTGTATTTTAAAAAAGCCAGCAAATAGGAAGGTAGGAGAATGTGCGTGATTTTGGAACAATGCCAATGTTGTAAACACAGGAATGCATAGAAATTCGTGCTACAAAAGCTTGTAATCTTGTGAGCACAGGAAAGCTCACAAGCTTAAAAACTGTTCTAGGTTAATTTGAGAAAAATACACAGAGCATCACCATGTCGCTCCCATACGCATGAAATAAAAACCTTTTAACTTCTGAGACAGACTCCTGAAACGGAAACGGGGAAAATTGCAAGCTTGCAAATTGCTAAAGCAGGTAAGCCCCACACTATTTTTGAAGAACTTTTTCTGTTGGCAAAAGAGCTGGCACGTATTATGTGTGGAGAAAAGGCTGCTAAACAGCTCGACCTGCTGCCCCCTCTGAAAGACACAGTCACTCAAAGAATTATTGAAATGGCAGATGATATCAAAAGTACGCTGATAGACCGCGTTAAGATGAGCAGATGCTTTTCACTGCATTCAGATGAGTCTGTAGTCGATTTGGCCAATTTGCTCTTTTACGTTAGATACGGGTTTGAGGGCATATCCCATGAGGGCTTTCTGTTCTGTAAGCCTCTACCAACAAGAACTACACGAGAGCACATGTTTCGGCTCCTGATGAATTTATCAAGGAGAATGGCATCAACTGGATAAAATTCGTCGAAGTTTGTACAGATGGTGCTAGGGCGATGACAAGCCGAAACAACGGTGTAGTTGCACGAATTAGAGAGGTTGCTCCAGAAATGAATGGACACATTGCAACATCCACCACAAGACCTTTTCCATCAAGAAAATGCCTGACGATTTAAAATCTGTTAGACTCTGTTGTGAATTGTATCAAGGCTCGAAAAATGACTTCACATCTGCTTTGCTTGACTAAACAGGCTCACTCCTCTCACTGAAATGGTGCTTTTTTATTGTTTGTTTTTATTTGTTGTTGTTCCTGTTTTTTTTCTGTAAAGCGCTTTGAGAAGCCACCTTTAAAGGTGCTATATCAAATAAAGTTTATTATTATAATATTTATTGTATGTGTATGTGAGTGTGTGTACACACGTGCGCTCATATTGGTCATTGAGATTTTCTGGGGTTCCTATGAGAAGATGACTTGTAGGTGGTACTTGGATGATTTGGTTTGATCAGGGGTGGTACTTGGTCCAAAAAGTTTGAGAACCTCTGCTATATTGGATAAAGCAGTTAGAAAGTAGATGGATGTCCCAGATAAATTGTGAGCAGATTACCATGGGCTCCCCTACAGAAAGATAAATAGGTAATCTTAATAGGTCTATTAATAGGTGTAATAGGTAAAATGGCACCTTGGGCATTAGATTGATCCTGATAATACTCTTAAGTAAGGTACCGGGTTTAGACAAGCTCTGCAATAGAGAGGATTGGAGTTATTGTCTCACCCCCACCTCCCGAAGCTCTCTTTCAGCGACATGTGAAGCTGTGTTTTTTAGGACAACAGATCTACCCCTTGTCGCTCCTCTGTCATGGCAGACCACTAAACTAAACTGTCAGGTTTAAAAGATTGGATTATCTTTTTCTTGGCAGGTGGGAACTGACTGGGACCCAAAGGAGAGGATCTTCCGCAATTTCGGAGGGGTGCTGGGCCCCATGGATGAGCCCGTAGCGGTGCAGAAGTGGGCCCGGGGCCCCAACCTCACGGCCACCATCGTGTGGATCGACCCAGCCAACGTGGTGGCCACGTCTTACGACATCAGCGTGGACGTGGAGGCGGAGTTCACGCAGTACAAGCCTCCGCTGCAGCGGCCCCTGCGGCCCGGCGTCTGGACGCTGCGGGTCCTGAGGCTGTGGGAGCCGGTGGCCGAGGCCCAGTTCCTCGTGACGCCCCTCGCCTTCAAGGGAAGAAAGCCGCTCCGCAAAGGTGAGAGCTGGACCGCTACTTCCAATTAAGGTTCGAGGGGAAACTGGAGCCTATCTCGGCAAGCATGGGGCGCAAGGCAGGATACACGCTGGACAGGACGCCAGTCCATCACAGGGCAGACAGACTCTAACACAGACACGCACACACTCACAGCAGGGCCAGGTTTCCCAGAAGCCAATTAACCTACCGGCGTGTGTTTGGATTGTGGGAGGAAACCAGAGTACTTGGAAGAAATCCATATTGAACGCGGGTGAACATACAAACTGCACACAGATCGCCAGAATGGAATCCAGGGCCCAGCATTGCAAGGCAGCAGCTCTAACCACTGTGCCATCCTGCCGCTGCTAAATATTAGTATATTTAGATTATAATATTTCTATAATATATATGAATATATGGTATAATATAAGCTGCTTGATGTTATGGCAGCAACCCTCCCTGGGCAGCAAATTACCAAGAGAACGGGTTGGAAAACATTTTATTCTAATTGTCCAGATATCCCTAGATTTCTTTTTGATATTTGGTTTATTAAAGTAGCCTGGAAGTCCTTGGAAGTGCATGACC